TATTTTGTCGTAAAAACAGTAGAGACTCGAATTCGTTTAATAAATATTAACCGCAGCTTCAAACTCTCGAGAAATTTTCGAAGTTCATCAAGACGACTGCTACTGGTTCTATGTTCAGAATTAAACTAAATAACTTTCCTGCTCGTCATCTTGATTTCTTTCAGGCTCCCCTACCCTTTGGACTGGACGTTCGTATATTTTTACAAAACAAGCGAACTCTCTTCCGCGCTCATCTCAACCAATCGGCGATCGCTAAAATCGTACGACTTGACCTAGATTCGAATGTTTGCAAAACGAAAAAAACTCATTTCGTATGCATTTACCAGCGTTTACGACCTGTTTTTATGCAGGCGCTGGTCTTTGAAGTAGAAATACCGCTCTGCTACTTTCCATTGACGTCTATATGCCGCTGTTTCTATCTCATTTTTCTATGCATCGTTTCGCTTCCTCAATTTGCGTTATATGATAAATGGAATCCAACAGTCTTCGGCCATTCTCGGAAATCTTCAAAAATTCGCGAAAATTCAAAATTTTTGTTTTCCTCGATTTCATATAGAACTCGACGCCCTGGGACAAAAAGTCTCATGCCGCGTCTCGATAATCTCAGTCCTTCTGGCTGAAAAATGCGTTTGAAAAATATATTTTCCGAAATTCAAATGCTAATCAAAATTCAACCCGAGCACTAGAAACGTGATCGTGTTGTCAATCGAAAGCTGCTAAGAATATCTCATTGATGCTTCTTTGAAGAAAGTACGATTTCCCTATCTAGATGACTGAAAAAGCCATTTTCCATAAAATCAACTTTTTCCCTATTTAAAAAATTGGCGAAGGCTACTAATTTTGCAAAAGATTTTTCTATCGCTTAGGAAACGGTATTTCACATCTTAATTTTCAAAACTGAGCTGAAATATCCTGGAAAAACCAACGTTTTTCCATGTTTTCTCGATGTTTACTCTGAGTGGGCGGTCCTTGCACTGGAACTCGCAAAATTTAAAACTAGTTTTGTTTCGCAACACTATCAACCAAAATAATATCACCCTCCTGCAACCACCTTCTCAGACTGTGAACATCTCTTTCAAACTCATTCACAAGTATTGCAGCATCGTTGTTTCATAGCCACTATCAGAAATGGTTTTAGAAGTCTTCCTTTGTAGATGCAAAACGACTGTCGAAGTGAACGAAAATTCTTGCTCTTTGTAATGAAGCAGTAGATAGTATCAATGCATGCAGTAACTCTGCAGAACATACAAATCGGGGCTATAACAAAAACCATAGACGAGAAACTACTGTAGGTCGAATCCACAGTTACAGAGCTCAACCAAAATTGTTACTTAATGTATCGAATAAGGACATCTTCTATATGCAACAGGATCGGCAATAAAGAGGAATATTTCTGAAACTCAACAAGTTTGAGATTAAAGAAAAGATTTTTGGAAAAAAAATCTCAGGGGAACAGGCAGGACCTAATTGGATGAAACTATTAATATACAGCAAATGAAAAATTCGTACTCAAAAATGTATGGACCTACAACGGTAAAATCTACATCAATAAAGACAATAAAGTGAATATGATAGATTTTTGGATGATAGACGATAACGCTGAAAAATATGTGATAACGTCCGAGGTTATATACGGGGAGAGCGAATGAAAACAGATCCGTATCCTATACCGTAGGAATTATCCACTTCAATATTGGAAGTTTATAAGGCATTATAATGAACTTTTGTTGTATATTGAAAAGGCAAAAGATTTCTGTCGGAAATATTGAAAACATTGATGACTTTTCTATCCCAAATTATATTATTCACTACAACAAATCTCTTATAAATAAATGTGATGCTGTTCAAATAAATGACTGTAAATTTCTTAGGACAACTTGCTGTATAATAACTCTTTGCTGATAATTAATTGAATCAACTGATATGCAAATTTCTTCAAAAATAAATACTACAAAAAAATCAAACCATGGATCAATGTTGGTCTTATCACATCTATCAAACACAGGGATCGCCTGAAAAATGAACTTATTAGAAATTTCTCAAATAAAACTGACAAATACAGAAATAAACTCAATACTTTCATCTACACAACAAAAAATGTATTTCATCACAATGAAATAGCAGAAGCAGGAAACGAGTATAAAAAAATTTGGACGGTTATCAATGATATAACAGCAGAATAAAAAATCTAAGAAACAAATACAGAACACTCCAATAACCAGTGAAGTAAGTGAAATAATACCAAATAAAGATAAAGCAAATATACTTAATAATTCCGTTACAATCTTGTGTATATGTTTGAAAAAATACCAAGTATTATGTAAAGTTATTGGCTTTCTATTACTCCATCTACAAAAAAATGTGGTATTAATTGACTCAACCATTTTCCTTCTACCTAAAAAAATGTTCCTTGGGTCCAGATGAACTCTGTGGAAACTATAAAAACTATAATGAATAACAACATTAACAACCATTAATCCAAATAATCAATTTATGGTTTTGGAATGTTTCCACTGAAACATTCCAAAAAAGAATCACTCATCACTTCGATTTTTAAGACGGGTAATAACTACAGGCCAATATCCGTCATCAATGATCTAGCAAAAATATTTGAACAAGTAGTTAAAAAAAATATTTTTCCCAGACACAACGTCATTACTGACAGGCAGTATGGTTTCATCCAAAATTCAAACATTGAAAACTAGTTGATTTTCTAGAGAAAACAGTTGAGGCCCTGGACAAATCATCCTAATGCATAGCAGTTTTTCTAGACCTTAAGGCCTTTGACAGTGTCACAAGAAATTTTACTAAACAAATTACTATGGTATTCGTGGTTCCCACAAATTCTCATGTCCAGTTATTTAACAAATAACAGAGAGTAAAATTGGGAATGAGGTGAATACGGAGTCAATAGTGAAAATCGGGGTGCCTCAAGAAACAGTGTTGGGCCCAACTGTTTCTTGTATAAATGAACAATATAGCAAAAATGGACACCTTATTTGTTATGCTGAGTACACAGCCTTGATCGGCGCGAAAAAGAATTGGGAGGATGTTAAACACACCACCGAAACAAATTTACAGAATATATATGCATGGTTGAATTTAAATAAGCTCACCCTAAATATTGATAAGACTAAATTTGTTGCCTCTATACCAACGGTCAACCATATAATTTGTCTCTAAAACTACACTCCATAAACCGTCACAAAAATGTATGTGGGTGCCATCGATTAAATATTTAGGGGTCAACACATACGTTGGTCTGATCATGTCATGCAGGTAAACAAACGCCTTAGAACACTAATACACACTTTTTATTCTCTAAGAGACATCCTCTCCAGAAAAAACCTCATGATGCTATACAACTCCCTAGCTGAATCAATCAAAGTAAAAAAAGATTAAGTAGAAAAATAACAATTATATCAAACAAAAAAAACTGAAATTACAATGAAATGAAATATAAGCAATAACCAAAATATTAAAAAATCACGAGATGAAAATTAAAGAATTATTAACAAGAAATGAAAATTAAAAATTAAAAGATTCCAAACCAAGTTAATTCACGACGTTTCGATTGTTCCACAATCATCTTCAAGTGATAACGGAACTTATTTCTCCGAGATTTGACTATTTATTTTGGGTCATTTGAGTGCTTTCAGCTATCCCCTCTTCACTCTCGCCGCTTCATCAGTTTTAGCGGAAGCTGACCGTTTGACGGGAGTTGGTCGTGTTCCACTTGATAGAAGTTTCCATATGTTGCGTATCTCTATGCCAGCTTGGCTAAATGCGTTGTTTTACAACATATATACGGCTCCTTTGAATTTTCTCCTAAACAGTGTTCTTCCTTGTGGATGATATCAGCTTGAGCCCACTTGATGTTGATGATGTTCACATGCTCTGCTATTCCAGATTTGCTGGTTTCCCCTCGCTGTGTGTGTTTTTCATGCTCAGCAATGCGAACTTTCAATGGTCTTAGTTTCACCGATGTATGTTCTCCGCACTCGCACGGTAGCCGGTAAATGCAATTCTTGGAATTGCAGTCCGCGTTTGGTGGCCTGGTTTTTGTAAGGATGCTACAGATAGTGTTCCCAGAACTGAAACAGGTACTGATGTTATCCTTTCTGACAATCTTCTGATGTAGGGAAGTACAAGTACTGGTTGTGGCGGCATCTCTTCCTTTTGGAGCTTCTGCTGTCTTCTAGCTAAAGCCTGTTCCACCATCAGTTTGGAGTAACCATTTCGTTGAAGGTCATTTTTGATGATTCCTAGTTCCTTTTAGAGACCTTCCGAAGCATGGTCTTTCTCTCTTAGACGATTGATGGTGGTTGGATTCCTGGTTCGGATACTGTGTGAGTGGGTTTTCGATATACAGTTTCCCAACCACCAATTGCAAGGCGTAAAATATTGAGAAGTTGTCTTTGTGAGGGATACTTTTAGGGATAGTGGGTAGGATTAATGAATAATGATTTTTTGATTTGGAAGAGAATTTTTTCCAGTCTCCCCCAATTTGATAAGATAGTTTGTGTTCGCCGTTTCTTAGGACGGATGGTTTGACTCTGGAAAGTTTGGAATTGTATGTATCCCATTTTTCTGCCAGTGGTTCTTCAAAGTGAGACTTATTTCTTGCTTTCCACACTATATTCATTTGCTTACAATACATGCTGTCTCACATTTGATAACATAACAATGACGATGGGGGAAAAGGAGGAGTGTTTCATCCCTACTGTTATTTATACCTAACTTATTATTATTCTTCTTCTTCTGTATTCTACATTGCTAACAGTCGACATCTACCAATCATACGCATAAATATCAGCGATCAAGTAATTATCTCAACAGAAAAAAGATTTTATTATTTCTCATTTTTCACATTTTAGATTTCTTTTTCTTCACAATTTCGATAAGTTCTATGATACTTCTATGATACTTACCTAGACATTCAAAAAACGAATCCATCTGGAATAGATTCCAGATGTAGATCACACCATCATTAAAAATTATTTCCGATTACTATTGATATTTTATTGAATGATTATGTGCGAAATCAATTGTATACAATTCCACCTTTTTTGACGTTGAGGCTAGTGGGTTTCTACTCCCTTTTTCGAATCACGTGTTGAGAAAAGCAAATACCAATGGAAGAGACTTATGCGTAGCAAGGATTCTATACAACTACAAATCTGGTCGAAAAAAGATCAGAAATCTTCAACGTTCACAGACATTTCACCCCTAAGGTCCGTTTTCATCATCTGAATTAAAAAATGATATTATTTTTGTATCATTAATTTATTATTTTTTATATTCACCTGAACACGTTGTTGAAAGCTTAGCCCTGGCAATGCTAAGACATACGCCAGTTTAGTCAGGGCAGCCTCAGCAGTCATATCTCTTCCACAAATTATACCAATATCTTTAAAAACCTGAAAACAAAAATTTATTGATGATAAAATTTTTAGCTTTCAGAAAAAAGTGAGTGTTTAATTAAGGGTAGTAGGGTAGTAAATAATATATTCCAAGAATATATTCCACGACACTAATTAATTTCTGTATGAGGAAGTATGAGGTAGACAAAGTGAAGTAATCGCGTATGCTCTCTGCAAAATGAGAGAGTTGCAGAGATTTTTATTTGAAACCAAGTTTGGTAGAAAATATCGAAAAAAACACTCAGTAGGTAAAAATTATACTATTTTACACCGTGACACCATTTTAGTACGTATCTTTATCATTCTTTCAAAAATGAATCATTTTTTATGTTTTGAAGTTCATTCATTTAGCCGAATTTTCCCGGAAAAGTCCGATATGAAGAGTCAAATAATTTAAAAAAAAAATTCACCACTATCTGCAATCTCCAAATTGCAGAGGGTGGGAGTAGAGATCTATCTCAACTCCCACAATCTAAAAAATGAAAAAAGCTGAATCAGTAGAGAATTTGGTAAAGAGTAATAAAGATGACTAGATATGACTAAATATGATACTAGAAAAATAGACGGATGAAATCTGTTTTTGACAAATTTTTCACCAAATCACGTTCATTACATTCTGTATACATTTAAATCACCTGAAATATTCAATGAATGAACAAAGTATGAATCATAAAAAAGTTGATGAAATGAAAATAAAAAAATTTGTTTACTTTTGACAATTCACATTTTTCACAAATGGTTTTTAAATTTTATATCATTTCAAACTTGATTTTCAATACTGTTTCATTTCATTATGAGTTGATAACTACTTGAAAACAAATTTATAATTGAGTAGTGAAGTGATAAGTAAATTATCTCAGTGAACGTGAACTAGTTGGTTACGATTGAACCAATCCGGTGAGATAGTGATGAAGCCTAATTTAGTATGTTTTCAAAATTCTAAAAGTCTAATTATTTTTATAAGGTGGTTATTCACATATTGTCTTCAATCGAGGAACGCCTGCCCGATACTGACGATGCCCAATAGGCTAAAACAGCTGTATACCGGTGGCTCTTGAATTGAAATCAATATGGGAAAGATCAAAAAGGAAAAGATTAGTCGAAATAACACTCAAGAAAAATTATTGGCAAACCGCGGACACGTATTCCTGGCATTGGCCTCATCAGCGCGGTGTTGCCAAGAAGTGTAAAGATGGGCAATACTTGTTTGCAGAAAGCAGGAAACACATATGCACGGAGTCAACAACAGGAGCCAACCGCACATTTGTGGTTCCAGTTAGAAGACCTAGAGTTCCCAGGCTAAATCTAACTAATTTGTATTAGTTGTATTAGTTGTATTGATTTGTATCAAATATGAAACAAATTGTTGCTCCGTGGCGACTTCATTGATTACAGTGGCGCATTTGCTTTTTTCCTTCTATGGAAAATTATAAAATTTACAGAAATGAAACTTACTTTTCCTGGTTCATATGAAGCATGAACAGATCCTCGTGAACATTGTGTAATGTTGACTATCAGCATTTCTTTTTCTACAGCTTTTTTAAAAACTGAGAGTAAATCATTCCTTTTGGACGGAATATTTCCACTTCCATAACTTTGAATCACTATTCCCTTGAGAGAACATTCCAAAAACGAATTCAGCTGTAAAATAAATATTGTGTTCTAGTGGATAATACAGTGTGATAACACAGTGTGATTTTCTTGAAATGAAAATATGATTGTTGATTTGATACCTAGAAAATTTTCTGAAATATTTTTGATTAAAAGAAGTAAGTACACATTCTCATCGTTGAAAAATAATTATTGGTCTATCCTATCCTGATGATAGAAGTTGATATGGAATAATCCTCTGAAAAGGCTTATGCATGATTCATTATTAGAAAAAATGTTGAAACCCGAAAAGATATTGCGAAGACTCATCAATAGCCAATTTACGACTACTCGCACAATGTGTTTTCCTCGAAGATGTACCACCAACAGCCGCCTATGGTGGTACATCGCCAATCATGTCCTATCCTCATTCCCAACTATTAAGAAATCTTTCTCCGATTTCCTCTTCTAATCCCACCGTTCGTGGTTACCCTCACAATATTAGATACGAGTATTCAGAGCAGATAGTGCAAAAATCAGAAATGAGCAGTGCGGTAGAAGGTGAATGGCCCCCAAAAATTGGTAACTTTGACGAAAGAGGAAGAGAAAATCTGAAGTGAGGCTAAACTGAGTCACTCAACTCAAACGAGTCACTTGAGTGACTTGTGATAGCTTGTAGTTTGCTATATATCCTCCAAAGCACGTTTTTCACAGTTGGTGCCTGTGGGAGCAGATAGATGTCTGTCAACTCCAGCAAAACTGCGTTAATCCCCTTCACCGAGAGGAGAAAATTGGACGATCTAACGCCAATTTCCCTGGAATATCTTGGCATTGTCTTTGATAAAAGACTCACCTGGAATGCTCACTTGAAAAAAGTTGTACACAAAGCCAGACTGTCTCTATGGACATGTCGAAGGATTTGTGGTAAAACTTAGGGCTTATTGGATTTATGTGATGATTGCCAGACCAATGATCACTTATGGTGTAGTTGCTTGGTGGCCAAAGGCTTTACAGGAAACGACCCAAGCGAAGATCTCTGGCTTACAGAGACAGGCTTGATGCCATCTGTACCACACCGTCAGCGGCCATGTAGATCCTTCTAGATCTACCTCCACATTTTTCTGGAGAGAGAGAGAGGCTAGATGGACTGCATACAGCCAATTGCACAAATAAGTACTATTCCCGAGTAGAGAGGACTGGATCCTCCGGGAGAAGGAAATATCAAGAGCAGATAATTGTTGGTTCACAGATGGATCAAAAACATCTGGTTCTGGTTGCAGGTGTTTTTAGTTGCAGACCCAGGACAGAGATATTTACCTGCCTAGGAACTTATGCGAAGCGGAAATTTAAGCTATTTGTGTGGAGAGATTGGATAAATCCAATCCGGCGTTGGAAGCTCTTGGCTCCTACCGAGCAACGTCTAAATGGTAGCAAATTGCCAAAAACGACTCTCCTCGATAGGAAGACTAAACAAATGGTCTCTGGTCTGGATTCCTGGCCATACTGCCTGGAAGGTAATGGAGCTGCTGACTCTCATGCAAAGGAAGGTGCTGTAAGTGCTTCATCGGACCTGTTATTGGCATCGTTTTAGGCTTTGGCAAGGAGATTTACGGACTTCTGGCAGAATTCCAGGATTGGCTCACTCCAAGACGTTCATCCACCCTTCAAAGCTTGATACCAAACAGTTGTTGGACTACAGTAGGGATGAACTACGATGTCTAACAGGCATTCTTACTGGTCACTGTCATTTGAATCATCATATGTAGAGACACGTATCGACAGTGTTTGTCGCCTCTGTTTGGAAAATGATGAAATAGCGAGCATATACTTTGTGCCTGCCCTGCTGGGTACCAAATCAGGTTCTTAGAGTTCAGCAGATCCGTAATCTTACCATCTGACCTGAAAGACCACTCATACAAACTAATCTTCTTCGTTAAGAAGCTGGGTTTATTTGTCCGAATGTGAATGTGTGAGCCACAATAAACCTTGTGGTTTAGATCTAACCTAACCTAACCTGAACTGAGCTCTGTGGGTGAACTAGGACAGTTCCCAAAATAAATGATTTCCAACGGAGATGTAGTGGATAAGTCTCTTCAAATCCAACAGTCAGATGTTATGTCTGAACCCGTCAACAGTTTCGGCGAAGTCGCTTTCGACCAGGCCGTCGAAAGTGAGTACAACAATCTACCCATATGTCCCTTCATGCATTCCGAAGGTCCAACCAGTTTGTGTATCCTGAGTGTTACTAGATGGGAGTGAATATATTCTTGGCATTACTTCCAACTCATTTGGAAAGGTATACTAGAAGTACTGTGTAGGTGCCGTTTGTTTCAAAATGGAACTTTCTATTTTTCATCAATAGTTCGTTAAGCGGTTCATCATTCGATTAACGATATTTAAGTGCGATGGTAATTTTATAATATATGATATAATAATTTAACAATATAGTTAGTTCAGCTGTCATGCAGTTAGTTCTAGTTATGTGAAGAACATATCCATTATTTGAAAGTAACTTTTGCTTACCATTTCACAAGTTATTGTAGGAAAAAGTGTTAACATTGCTACGTTTTGATTAAGGTCATCAAATAACTTGAAAGGAATACTATCATCGGTTTTTCGGATGTAATGATGATTCACTAAAAAAAAAGTGATTTTGCAGGTATACAGAAATTTTTGCAGGTCGGGTTTCCCAGATTGAATCTCGACCAGGTTATTCGAAAAAAATGTCAACATTTCACATTTCTTATGATGCACTGTTTGGAACCTTTGGTGTAGTAATGAATATTACTGGAGTTTTTCCTAACACCAAATCGTTATTTTTACCACCTCGACACGTGTTTCAATCACCAAGTGATCATCTTCAAAGAGGAAGAATAAAACAGTTTTTGGGTGGGGGTTGGAACAACACCCAAAAGTTCATGATTCTCAAAAAATTGAAACAATATTCTGCAGGTCTGCAGAAATTCTTGCAGGTCAGTTCAACTAGATATGGATCTTGACCAGATTATTAGTTTTCAAAAAAAAATACCTAGTAAAATTTGCAGGTCGTCAGAAATTCTTGCAGGTTGGGTTTGCCAGATATGGATCTCGACCAGATTATTTATTTTCAACAGAAAAAATTTCCAACCCTCATGCAGGTCGGCAGAAATTCTTGCAGGTCAGATCTCTCATATATGAATCCAGACCAGTTTTATCACTTTCGACAACAAAAAAAAATCAACCCCCATCGTTTTAGTATAAAAAAAATTCAAATTTCTCGTTAAATCGAAAATAGACCTTGCTGGTTGGCAGGAATTCTTGCAGGAAGGCTCTCTCAGACATGAACCTCAACCAGATTATTAATTTTTTTTCATTATTCCAAAATTACAAACATATACATGGAAGATTCCCACATTTTTTTGTATCAAGGTGGAGTGGTAGAAAGCCAAAAACTTTCTTTCCCAAAAAATTAATCACTCCTAAAAATATAACCCCTTCAATTCATATACATTAAATAATTACAAAAATAAACTTATTACAATTTTTCTTATCACAATTCTCAGTGTCCATAAAAAAAAGAACATAACAAACAGCAGTACAAATTCATAATACGAATGAATTTCACCCATCCCATAGCCCCTGAGAAACCATACAAATATTTCGTCCTGAATGAATGAGTCTGCCACTACTTATTTTGCCACTACCACCTCTCAGTGGCGTATCAATTTTATTTGTCCCACTACCAACACGTCAATAAGCCAGCAGCTCACCATTCATTCGTCTCTCTCATCCTTCACATTAAGCAGCAGTTGCGCGACAGCTCCAACAATTCATGCCCAGCTTATCTACAGAATCTGTAGAACAGCCTCCAGTCATACCACTCTCCCACTCTCGTTGCCATTTTCCTATGATTTTTCCTTTGATCCTCTTTCTCTTCTCATTCTTGCTATCAATTCTCTTTACGTTCCATGTCACACTTTCTCTATCCATTCCTTTTGTCGCCTCCTCGTGGGCTTTTTTGTTACCTGTGATCCCTTCCCGATGTCCTCTCCCCCAGACTATCTGAGTACGTGCCCCCCTTTCTCTCTTTCCTCAATCATCCGTTGAATAATCGCAACCCGGTTATTCTTCACTCGCCACAGCCATGGCGGAGTCACATGGCAATCACAGTCATGCTCTCTTCCATACTCCATGCTAACCACTCTTTCAATTGCAATCAACTCTGCCTCATTCACACTGCCCTGTTCGGAGGTCCTTTCATTTCCCGTTATCCACTTCATTCTTCCCGCATTTATACCTCAGTCACTCTTTCGTCCTCCCTCCCCCTCCATCAACATACCTCCAAGGTATGTTGCGTATGAAGCAAGATCATTTCTGAGATTACACTGAGCCCGCCGAGGGCGTCGTCCTATAGCCCCACACGAGAATATAAGAAAGGGCCTCTGTGCAGCACTATGTTGTCTCCTCACCATTCTGTCATGCATTCTATTCCCCCACACTTGTACGCCATACAATACTGAACGTTTTGCTACTCTTCCATAGATCATCCTCACGCATTGTCTCTTCAGCCCAATTCCTCTCGATCCATCTTCTCAATTCCCCCCCCCCCAGTTCACTCGATTTCTCCGCACTTCCTTCTGGTGTTCTAGTAACACACAGGGTGACTTGACTGTCCTCTCCAATATGAAACTCTTTTTCTCTACATTTACCGGCATTCTTCTCATGCATCTCACAATTGCTGGTGCCTACGAGGTATTAAAGGCGTTCGACAGACAGGTCCAACGCCACAACCAGACTGTGTCTCTTCGCTTTCTTATTCTCTTTTTTTTTTCACCATTTTTTCAACAGCCATCACGGCATCCCTTTCCCCTCTGAAACCAAATTGGTTGGGCTTTTAACTTCAACCCCCTTGTATTCTACCGTTAAGAAGCCTAATGAGCCTGGGGTCCTTCAACAGTATCCATACGACCTTTGCCCTCTTCCATACTTTCGTGAAATGACCTCTCCCCAGACAGACATTGAAAAGCTCTAGCATGGTATTCGCCTTTCATTCCGTTACCTTTCGAAGGATCTCGTAGGTACCCCATCTACTCCAGTCACCTTTCTGTCGAGTAGCTTCAGCGCTACCGCTCGCAGCTCCTCGATCGAGAATGCCGGCTGCTCCTCACCCCATGCCTGTCTCAATTCTGATGGGAGTGTCGCTCAAAGGATTATCCTTGGGGAAGTACTTATTCAGCAAGAATCTGCTAGTCACTTCCTTCTCCCACGGTGAAGGTGCCACCCCTTTCGTAACATTCGACGGCATCTCCTCGGCTCTCTCATTGTTGAGGAGTCGATAGGAGCGTTCCCATGGATTTTCATCCTGGATCCGCTCCAGTCTTCCCTCAACCATGCAATTCTTGCATTCCCTATCATTCGTTTATACTTACTCCTTTCTCTATACTCACTCATCCTTCTTCTCCTTTCTTTCCCATCTCTCATACTTTGAGCTTCTCTCTCCTTCATCGTATCTAACCTTCCTGGATGGTATTCGTAAATCATCCGTTCCATTCCGACCCAGTCGGTTGCTATTATATTCGTCACCCTTATCGTCTTTGGTAACCCCATCAAGCGAAATTCAATCATCCTATGATCACTCATTATCTCTTTCATATTCACTTTACATTCATTTACCTGCGTGTTGGCGCTAATGTCAGGTCGACCCAACTTTCACACCTGTTGCTGGAGAAAGTGGCAGGACTTTCGTTATGATTTCATCACTAAAAGTGATATGAATATATCAAAAACTACGAACCTTTAACATCAACTCCTATATCGGCTAATGTATGATAATTTGGAGAACTGAAAGCATCCAACTCATTTGAGCTCACTTTCACAATACGATTTCCTCTGAACAATTTATTTGCAAAAAAGACACATACTTCTGGTATATCATAATATGCCGCAATTATGAGAGAGGTTAGGAAGTTCTCCTTCGCATCAGCACGCCTTTCAAATATTGGAATCTGAAAATTTTAAAAATGTTTGGATAATAGATAATACGGATTTGCTTACTTCTTATATGCCTAATAGTTAATTTTCTCCTCATTACTTCTCGTAAACATTTTTGCTTGGAAATAACCAAACAAATAAATGATTTCGAGAGGAATTTCAAAAAATTCTTCACAACAGAACTACAACATGGTAATAACTTGAGAACCATAAGTTTCTTGGAGTTTTAGAGGACTTAATTTCTTCATCTCTGTATTCTTTAACCGATTTGGATAGAATTATGTTAATCCTTCATTCCCCGACCCACCTTAAATCAGGATTTGCTGCAATGCTTTGAAATAGAATGACTTCAACCAACGATTTTAACCAATTTGGATGGGATTATGTGGATCTTCCATTCCCTGATCCATCTAATATTCGGAATCTGCTGCATTACTCAATCGAGTTATCGACATTGTCAGTATTTCATATCCGTCCATATCGGAAGACAATGTTTCGTAACATTGGAAACAAAATGCTGAGGACACCTATGCCACTGTTATATATCTGCGCGCAGCTTCCCCTAATGATTATAATAACGTATTATCGAAGGCAGTTAGTTTTGTTTAGTTTTGTAAGGCATATATTGCTATTTTTTATCCTGATGTTCACGTTTTCATGGGAGCCGTATTATTTATTGCATATGCTGCGAGTGCGCCAATCCAGCACCAAACCGACGTTTTGACTGTCATGAACACTAATAAATTGTTATTCTCAGATCTACTGATATATCACATGATCAAAAGGAAGAAACTTTTTTTCAAATTTTCACATAATAATTATAATAATAATAATAATTATAATTAATAATAATTTCACATAATTTTCCATATCTTTCTTTCGAATATATATTTATTCTGCAATGTATAATTCAATATTCGGTATATCAATTTACAGTGATGATACCATTTTGCAACAAAATAATTTCTGATTTACCGATTATAATCGATGAAGATCATTTTTAATCAAATGAAAAAACAGAAAGAGAGAAGAAAGAAACACGATATTCGGATGTAAACGTGAGGAAAATCAGAAGAAAAGAAATTGGGATCGCTCTAATTTGAATTTTTCTTATTGCTTAAATACGTAGATGAACAACACCGACATGAGCCCACTTCAAGGTCGTGCGTGTTTCAGGGAGACCAGTGAGTGGGAAAGGGAAACGTGCGAAGTGATCGAAACAGAAAAGGGGGAGAAATGAGTATCGAGATTCAAAGAGCGTGTTCATCCTTTGGACTCCGCCTCACCCCTCGGGCTTTCACCCATGTGCCCCCTGTCGCATACCAGTCACGTGGCTAGTGGTCATCGGCAACTGAAGGAAATTGAATTAAAAAATAACGATCGGTATGAGAATTGAACACAGGTCGTTGTCATGGTAGGCTTTGTCGTTAGCCTCGACACCAACGGAAGATTTTGTAAGAAATTGCGAATCGTTGATACTAAGGGCCTGCGGTTGTTTCGTCAGGACTGAAATTGACTCCTTTTCTATACTTATTTCTTGATATCCATAGAATTTTAGGGAAATCGTAACGTCATGTCTATGTAGAGAAATATCCTCAGATTGGGGGAAGAATTGACGTTTCATGAAAAGATATGTGTAAGAGTGAGAGGACGGTTTGATGTATGAGAATGAGGTGGAGATGGTATCGAGTGATCCGTTGTAGAAATAAGGCGGCCCGTGAGGGCCAGCGCAAACATGACAGGTTTGATGAAAGTATGGTAATGGCATGACGACGCGTCCCTAAATGTCGCTGATTTTTTTAAAATCAATACCGCGTAAATGGTGTAATTTAGAGTAATTCACTATTTTCATTAGGTAAGATCATTGGTTAGATTAGTTTTTCGCACTGAAATTTCTCTCTAAAATATATGCGCAGTAATAAATTTTAGCTGTGAAAGATGAATCTCGAAATAAGTTTCGATTGCGAAAAATTCAGCATGTCCTTGAATGTCGCGCATATTTTTCTCCGGAAATCAATACTGCATAGATGTGATTTAGTGAAATTCAGTGTTTTCATTACGTTGGGTCAGTGGTTATGTTGGATTTCGCAATAATTATTTTGTGCCATATGCGCGGTAATACATTTTTTACAATGAAGGATACCATTTCCAGAAAGCGTTTTTCATTGTGGTGAATTCAGCTTCCTCAATACTGCACATATATCTTTGCGAAAATTAATTCCACGTGAAAGTCATTTAGCATTTTCGTTACGATCGGTTATTTGTCAGGTTAGATTTCGGTGATATTATTACATGCTGTGTGATATATTCCTGTTGGAAAGATCTATTGAAATGGCAAATGGCATCAGAGGGCAAAATAATTAATGGTAATCATAATTCAGCATTATGATATTCTTCTACCTGAGAACTCAAAAACTTTCTTGATTCAGTAATTGTTATAAGTAATACTCACTTGTGCTCCAGTTATAACAACAGGTTTTTTCAAGCTGTCGAACATAAATGATAGCGCTGAAGATGTATACGCCAATGTATCTGTTCCATGAAGTACAATGAATCCATCAAATGTATCATAGTGAAGCTATAAAAAAAATCCTGATGAATTGATATATTTTCTGTGCTAAATTAATATAAAAAAATCTGAAATTGGGTTACTAAGGGCAAGCCAGAACACTGCGGTATACGATGACGCGCCGTAAAAACTGCGATGTGAAAATTTCTGACATCGTGTCTCAATATGTATGCCGTCTCGATACAACACATGCATATACATGCTTGAATAATGTCTATCGTAAAATCATAAGAGACTTCAACTGGCCATGTGTTCTAGAATGTCAAAAGTATACAATACGTATCGTCTTGCTCAGCTAACGGGATAATATAAACCTCTTTTTTGAACTGGTAAATATTTCCCTGAGTATGGATGCATCAATGGTAGCCCTTCATCCGTCACGAAGACAAAAAAATGTTTATTTCTTTTTTGAAGATAAATACTATAAATTCTTGGTACACCAATGGGACTACTATTTTTCCTATCATCGGTCAATACGTAATGAACGATCTTTTTGAATACACTTCCAAACTTTTGAAATAAGTTGACGATGTCATTCGTGCAAACAGTATGAAATCTCATAAAATTCCTGATGTTATGAATAGATGTGATCAAAAATAACAATCTACTATCGACAGTAAAACGAGAGTTATCCCTAGAACTGAGTGAAAGACGGTAGAGTTATTCTAGAAGTGATACGACACTTAGAACGATCCAGAAACACAAGGAGATTTGAGCGAGACACTGGCCAAGTCACAGTCGATTGACGACTATCAGCGGTGGCCGGCGTTATTTTTTCAGGGGATGATTTACAATTTGTCAAGAAAAATTTGACGAATGATGAGTCATCCTATATTTTTATTTTTTGATATTATCTTTGATACTTTTTTCAACATCTTACGTACAATAAAATATGCAATACATACAAAACATAAAATTAAACATAAGTACGTTTACATAAACACAAACTAAATCATTACCATTAGTACCCACACACTTAAGTCACCAAATATATAACATATTATGTTTTCAAGTCGTGAAAAAAAGAAGACATGGCTGATAGACCGTGGTTGGATGAAACCTGGTACTGAACTTTTCGTTTTCAAACAAACTTATTTTCAATCGATTTCACAGTTCAACTTTCATTATTCATTTCAAATAGTTATTCTAGGACAAACTATCCTTTTTCATTCATGTCTGTCCAAACTGTCTTCATATCGTCTCCAACTAATTTACCCCAACAGTAAACTATTTTGGAAGGAGATTATAGGTACGTTGTCCCAGGTATTCATCAGAGCGAAACATATATACAGTAAATATATAGATTGTGACTCAAAATACCATGCTCTTTTGATGTGCTTCATTTTAGTCATTTTCGGACCTCCGAGTGGAACCTTGTGGAAACAACAAACTCAATGTAGGTGTAACGTAGGTGAGAGTGATATGAAGCAATATGCAACCAAAGATGGTGACATACAAAGAATACTAAGTCTTCGCCAATAATGTGCCACTAGGGTAGTGAAAGAAATACAGAATTTATCGACAAAGGACACGCAACATGTCAAAAGGGCACCAAGGCCCTTAATGATAGTTGGATCGCTACGTGCAGCACATTCAATTGAAGGAGAAAGGAGGCCGGTGTGGTCTTCCAATAGGTTCACGGATTGGTTATGGATTTGGAGAAAAAACAAAGATGATGTGACATGTCAGAAGGACACTAAGTTTTATCTCCATTGATAATAGTTAGATTGTGGCCTGCAGCACATTAAATGGAAGAAAAAGGAATGGCAGAATTCACAATAAAATAGCGGCCGTATCTTCGTTAATAATATTCGGATCATGAAGAATGAGGAATAAAACTTTCCATGTTTTTGCCACTTGTATTCGTTACTATCGTTACTGCAGTTTTGTCCTACAAGGACACAAGCGATCCGCTGCCTCTACACGAATGCAAACTGATACTAAATATAAATTCACCTACCGGGAATTTAAGTTCATGAAGAAACAGTGATGAAAAGGTATCTCTCCTTTTTTCCCGCTTCACTTGGAATATTAAAAATGCTTCCTGTTGCACACCCACAACATAAAACAAACCTACATACAAAATTTCAGCCTACGGCGGTACCTATAGCGGTACGGAAAAACAGTGATAAAACGGTGATTTTCAGATGTAAACGCTCCCCTTCATTCCCAGTGAGGGCAATCCACTTGGAATATTCAAACACCTTTTCTTATTGCACATTAAACTCCTCCATTTACACTTCCGATTTAGACGCAACTTTGGAAATCTCTTCTCATCAGAAGCGAGAAGAAATGCTGGCCAGAACATTGATGTTATGTTGTTCAAAATAATATCACAGAAGATCATTAAATTCATATGCTAATTTATAGAGATACACAATATAGGGCTTCATTCGCTTCACTTTCAAACACCAATGACTTTCTGCAATAAGCTGCGGACTCACTTGCATCATAAATGACCCAATCAGAATTCTGACCGTGAAGGTCAGGAATCCTGATTGGCTCATTTATGATGAGTCCAGATTCTTCTGATCGGTAGGTAGAGCTCGTAATTGAATTACAAAAACTTCTTGCTGTTGGGCAAAAAAGTATGAATCCATTCATCTAAAGATGAAGCACATAAAACTCATAAGTTATTCACGAACTAAAGATTCGGATCTTAGACATGATAGAAGTTCAGCTAAGATGGCTATGAAAAATGAATGAATCGAAAAATAGTTCATTAGGAGACAAAATGGCTGTCATAGCAAGCGCAGATACGATGAAAACCCAGGTTAGATTGGCATGAGTTTACTGAAACGATTACTGCAAATATCAAAAAATTCCACTCGTGCTACTGAGTGGAATCTGCAAAAAAATTGAATATCTAACCAACGTACTTATTGTGAGAATTTTCAAAACAGTCGTTGAAATAATTTATATCTAGATGTTTCTAGATATTATTCAGGCATCCGTCTGACTATAGTTTACTAGATATTCTCTTATACAGAAATCATCATTCATACTGAGTGAAGTATTTCTTTAGAGACAAGAAAACAATTGAAAAGGGAACCAACTCATGAATGTGACAAGGGGGTTCGGAAACTTCGTAAGGTTCTGAAGAATGCCACAGCAACATATTGAATCAACTTTGTGACACATTGAAAGTCTTCGAAATAAGTTGACGGCATTTCAAAAGATATGAAAACAGCTGAGACACAAAAAAGACAGCAATTGGGGTAATTCCACCTCAGCATTCAAATAAGAATTGCAAAGTAATGTTCAAAAGGAGAATTTGAAATGTCTAGAAGAATAAACAGGCAGTTAAGGTGAATACGGCATTCGGGATGGATTTGAAATTACGAAAGGCATCTTCGAGTAGGTACAGAAAAGGGTTCGATACATACATTATATGTAAAAATGAACTTTTGAAATATAATCAATTAAAATGGGCCCACAATTAGCAAAACAACTGGTAAGAGCCATACACTAACTCGATTTGAAGTTGGAAGAAATTGAGACAAACAACAAAATCATATAGTCAATAAACATGTTTATCAACCACAGGTAACTCCAACGAAAATAACGAGTTTTTTGAGAAAAGAAGAAACATATGAATTACGCAATGAAGAGGGGGAAAATAACGGATTGAACGAGAGAAGATCAATTTATTGATGATACCTTTTTCAAATTTATCATACAATCACAAATTCAGACGTTCTCCAGAAACACTTAGACCAATTTGAAGCATCACTACCCACATATTATATTGGAGACATGATAAAAGATACTGAAAGGAAATATGATCATATCTTGGGGTTTTTCCATAATCCGATAGAAGACACATTTTATATAAGAGACTCTGAAGTTGATTTTATTGGATCTAATGTAAATATGAAAAATATAACTTGAGTAACGGTGGGTCTTTTCGAGTTACATTTTCTGAAAAAATATCGTAGCTCACACCACAAAAGACGCTGAGAATTATGTGGATATTGTAAAAAGAACTGATTCATATCGTCGTGAAAATAATGCTGATTTACCTATTACAAAATTTCCTGAAGATATCAAGGAAAAGTATTTCCACATTATAAAACCTCATTTACAAAAAACTCGTCCTAGATCTGGTTCAATACCAACATCTGTATCCAGAGGTGTAGTCTTTCCCATATCTGGTTCAATTTCAACATCTCAACATGTTACACTACTGTTGACATTCACTCCCAAATCAATCGAGAATTGAATTAATAGCCCAGCTACTATCACGTTTTCGAAATTCTTCTAGTTCTTTCTTGATAGAAGTAATAACTTGATCTTTGAACCACACATCCAAATTTGGGTTACGATAAAGTGGTGTATTTGATGTGGTGAAATAAATATTTCACCAAAATCTCTTCGCCTACATATAAAAACTATCTGTATGTTGATGTTGTCCGAAACAAAAATAATCTTCAATAATATCTTGATCGCAAGATGCTACATCATCAAATATGATCAAAGAGTTAATTTCAAGGTTATCTGCAGAAGGTACGTCTTCACTATTACTATATTAGTAATATCCAATTTCATCGAGTGGTTGGAGCAAAGCACGTAAATACATCGGATGTTCTATCCACGATCAATCCACGCTTATAAATACCACCGAAAAGTTCACCGTGTTTTCCAGTATACAACATTGAAATCAGAATTATTGATGGGCAAAGAAACGTTATGTTTTAGTAACTTCATTGCGACTAAAGGTATGAAGGTTTGAGTTGACTCCATATCTTTGTGGAATATAATCAATTAGAAGCCATCCTCACGGAAAATCTACAAGATGTCGATGTCATTTATGTGCGAGGACATCAAAAACATGACTTTCTAATAGAAAAATTTCACGCGTTGTGATTTTGGAGGGCTATGACAATACAACATGGATGGTTCCCACATTCGACAATAACGAAGGTGTCTCACCCTGTATGCATCACATTCACAAGCGAACCAACTACAATTGCAGTCTCCGAAACGTAAATATTTTATACAAATGGTTT